TACTTAAATATAAAATTAATCCCAACAATTAAATATTAAAATGGATAGTTTTAATTATAACAATTTTACTATTATTAATTTTATAATAGAAATAATTATTTAAACCTTTAAATAAACTCTATTAAACAATATTTCCAATATTATTAATAATAATATTAATGTTAATAACTATTATGGCAGTAAAATCTCTTTAAAAATAATGGGATTTTTTAACCCCTTATAAATAAATCTCTATTTTATTGGTGTTATTTTATTTAAAAAATATATTATTTATATAAACGTTTTTACTTTCATTTACTGTTTAAAAGAATTTATTAAATTTTAAGGCGAAGTTAAAATTAAAGTAGTTTGGTTTTTTTATTTATAGTATATAATATAATAATAATTAATAATAAAATTTACGGATATAAAACAAAACGCCTTATTTATGGGAATTATGGATTATATTTGCGAAAAATTTATGATAAAATTTTGTAAATATTTAAATGTTATATATTAAAATTTTAAAAATCAATTATTTACTTTATTAAATATAAAAAATAGAAATTTTTTTTGTTTATTTATTAATAATATTATTTATAATATTAAAGTATATAATTATTCTTTAAAAAATTAATTAAAATATATTTTCAAAACCTTCAATTATAAAATTTAAAAATAATTAATTAAATTTACGGCGGATACAATTTTAGGATAATTTTTTCGATAGATTAATAAATAAAAAACTATTTTTTTATAAGAAACCAAATTTATTTATTTGTTTAATAAATATAATAAAAATAATTATAATAAGTAAAATATAAATTATTTCTGTAATTAATATTAGTAAAAGAATTAAATTAATAACCAATTTAATTTTAATTAAAAATATAATAAATAACCTTATTAAAAAAAATTATTAATAAATCTCTAACCCATTTAACAACCCTAAAAACAAAAACTAAAAATTAAATATAAATTAAAAAAATAAAAAGTATTTTTAACCCTTTTAATAAAAAACTTATATAGATAATTTTAAAAAAAATTTATACAATTTTAAAAATTACGATTTGGAAAATTGTAAATATATTAATAATAATAAAGATTTTGGTATAATATTTTATAAAAATATTTTAAATAATTTCGATTTTTTTTAGCAAATAATAATAACAAAGATATAACCAATTTTAATATAAATATTTAAAAATCTAAAATAATATAATATAAAGTCTATAGTAAATAGGTTAATAATTGAAATAAATTTTTTTATTATATTTAATAAAAACATTTTAAACTCTTACCAAAAGATTTTTATTTAAATAAATCTTTAACCAACCTATCAATAAAAATTTAATAGGATATATTATTTATAATTTTCGATTTATCTTTTAGTTAATAGCAAAATAATTTAGAAAAAGCTAACATTATTATAGTTATAAATTTTATTCTATTAAAATTACATTTAATAAATAATATAATAGAATAATATACTTTATTAAATTCTTTAATCTTATTTACTAAAAACTTTATTAACATATTTAAAACCTTTAAGATATTTACCAAAATTAATATACTTATTATGTAATCTTTAATCAATTCCTTTCCAAATATTAGAATTAATTTTATATTATTATATTTTTAAAATTAAAACATTAAAAAAATATTTACATAAATATAAACTATATCCACATTATTATAAATAAAACTTAAATATAATGTTATTATTTAAATGTTAAAATTTAAATAAAAGTTATATTAATATTTATTTAAGGAATTATAATAAATTATGTTATAATATTAAAATATGTTATTATATAGTTTTATTTTAAAAGAATATACAACAACAAACCTATTATTGTAACATTTTTATAAAAAATTATTTTTATTTAAGGCTTTACACTTTATATACTATTAAAAATCGATATTTTTAACGCCGAATAAATTAACATAATCTTTTTTAAGAAGATTATTATTATTTATTTCTTTAAATATAAAAAAAATATAATAAAACTCGAATAACAAATGCCTATTATATAGTAATAAAACCCTACCAATGCTTATAATTACCTTTTAATAACGAAGGAAAAACTCGCTATTATCGCAAAGATTACATTTTTAAACTCTTTTAAAAATTTAAAGATTTTTATTAATTTTGTTAAATATATAAAAAATAATATATTAAAATATATATAATTAATAAAACCTTTAAAGAAAAGAAAAACTCTTTTACTTCAACTAAATCCGTATTTAACTTTATTAAAATAAGGACGTAAAAAATAAACGTTTAATATTATTATTTAAATACCTTTTAAAAAAGAATTTGTATCTTTTTAAGGAATTAAAAATATTTTAATAAAATATACAATTCTTTATTTTTTTTCTTTTAAAAAAATATTATATATTAATTTTAATATATTAAAGATTAACATTAATATTTATATTTATTATATTACCAAAAATACCTTACTAAAATTTTTAAAAAATAATAAACTAATTACTTATATCCTATAAATAATAATTAAATTAATTATATTTTTCTTTAAAACTTTTACTATCGCGAAGAAAAAATATTAACCCATTAAAATAAAAATCTTAAACTTCGTTTAAATTTTTAAAAAAACATAATAATATATTACCGTTATTTAAAAAAAAATTTACTTTTTTATAAATTATAAAACCATTTTTAATATAACAAAACATTTAAATCTTATTAATTTTATTATAATAAATAATAAAAATTTACATTTAATTAAAATTTTTAAATATATTTTTAAATTTACTTATACAATTTTATATAAATTTAGAAAATTATATATTATTCCAAACATATTATTTTATTTTTTAATAAACAATCCCGTAAAAGAAAATCTAACCCCTTAACTCAGAAATTTAAACATTCTTTTAAATAATATTAATAAATATTAAGTTTTATTTACTTAATTAAAATTAAATAATCCTTAAACTTTATTTAAAAAAATTTTATTAACAATCCGTTTAATATTTTTAAAATTTAAAAACAATTTTTTTGCTACCTAAAACGTTTAAAATATTATTTTAATTTAAATTATTTTAAAATTTAAAACAAAAATACAATAAAATTATTATTAAAATTTTAAATAATAAATAATTTTTAATATTATTAATATTAATAAATGTTTTAATTTCTAAAATATAATAAATCTTTTATTTCATTTATAAAACGGTTTTATCTAAAAATCTAACAAAACATATAATAAATTTTATATTTTAAAAAATTACTATATCAAAATTTTCAAAATAATTTATAAACCTAATTATTTAAAATATAATTATTTAAAAAATTATTTATAATTTTTTATGCTTAATTGTAAAAAATTTACTAAATATATAAAATTTTACCCCAAATATACTATTTTATATTTATAAAATTATAAACTATATAAATCGTTACAATTAATTATTAAACCGTTTTATTTTTTTTATACTATTATATTAAACATAACATTTAATTTTCTTAAAAATAAAAATAATTACAATATTTTAAACGTTGTTATTAATAAATTTACCAAATCTATAATTTTAATCCTTAAAAAATATAATTTCAATACCTTATAATAGATTAAATACTTCTATAATCAATTTTTAAATATTAGGTAAAATTTACCCAAAATTATAATTATAAATAAAAACTTAAAATTTTTATTAAAATTTTAATTAATCTTTTAAATTAAATATAAAATAAAATTATTATATACAATAACCTACTATTTGTAAATAAATAAATAAATTAAATGATATATCCTCTTCGTAAAATTATATTTTAAATATTATTTTTAAACTTTAAAAAATAATAGAATATAAAAATCTTATTTCTTTTATCTATAATATAAATTAAATTTATTAAAATTATCAATAACTAAAATTAATCCCCTAAAAATTTTATATAAATTTTCATTAAATCTCATTATTTAATTCTTAAAGATATAACATTAAAACCTCCCCCCCTTTTAATTAAACATACATAACACTATTATAATAACGTTTATAATATTTAAACTATATTATAATAAACAATATAAATCCATATTTTTTTGTAAAAGATAACAAATCCTTTTTTGTTTACATAAAGGATATAACATCTTTACTACAACAATTTTCAACTAAAAATTTAACCAATAATATGTAAAACCTTTTAAAATATTAAAAAAAATTAATTATTTAGCTTATTATTTTAAATTTTCGTAAAATTTTAAAATTTATAACATTATTTTAATCAACTATTTAAAACCAACTTTATCTTTAAATATTTTTAAATATTTATTACCATACGTTGGTAAAATTTCTTTAAAAACTTATAACCAACACATTATTAAAAAAGATATTAATAGATAAAAATATTTTATTAAATATATAAATTTAAGAAATAAATACATTAAATAATTTTTTATAAAAAAAATAAATAAAGATTTAAACAAATTTTTAATAAATTATAAATAAAGATATTAATTAAATTTTTAATATAAAATTTTTTAATAAATAATAATTAAGATTTCATAAAAATATTATTTAAGAATTAATTAATTATAATTTTCTTTACTAAAGTTTTAATTATAAAATAATTTTTTTTATTTAAATAAAATTATTATACTTTTAATAAAACATTATTATATAATAAAAACATTGTAATTTTTTTATTATAATAATAATTATCATAAATAAAATTCCATTAATATAATAATAATATTTTATAAATACATATTTATATCTTATAAATAAACATCTTATAAATACCCCTAAATATATCTTACAAACTTAAACAATATAATATCATCCAATCATATACAATTAATGCCTACAATGTCCCTATTATTTCTACTCTCCCACAGCACTTTAAGATTCAAAGAACTCGATGAGCATAGGCAGATGGTGAATAAACGAATGGTTTTAGTTGTCCCAGGCAACTATCTAATCATAGCATACAGGCAAGTATTTTAAAAAAAAACATCTAGAAAAAGACCGTAACCATATGAGACCCTCTTTTAACCCCAGCCAGTCCTCCAATTCAGAATACCCTATTGCTACCACCCCTTTACTCAGTAGATGCCGCGATCTCCTCACGCTTCCCAAAGGACCTCAAGTGCTCGGCCTGGTCTTCGAAGCGAGCAAGCATTTCGTACGCCTCGCCCTCAGGTGAATCGCGCTTGAGAGTGTAGCGGAATGCTCCCTCCTCCAAGAAATGCTCATCCGGCTCAACTCTCTTGGCCGGTCCGGCGCTCTGCTCATCCCGCGCGTTGATGACGACGAAGACCTGAGCACCCTCTACCTCCTTCTTCTTGTTGCTGAGGCATTTGTTGCCAGTCTGCTGCTTAATGGCTAAACCGCCGCAGTCCGACTCCTTGTAGATCTTCAGCTGGTCGTCTGAGTCGTTGCCGCCGGCGGTCTCTGCGAACTTGGCGGACCGGTACTTATTCCCGCCGCCGCCGCAGCAGGTTCGAGCAGCGACGTTGCTGCAGGTTTGGCCTATTGCTTTCTTGCAGTCTTTCTTCTGGTACAGCATGATGTTGTAGTTGGCCATGGCGAGGCTGGACAAGGCTGTTGTGAGGAGAAGAGTACTGAACTGCATTTTGAAGAGATGTTTGGCTATCGGGTAAGGGATAAGTGAGTGGTATAAGTGTTTAATGTGCTTGGAATGTGGGTTTATCTGGATATGATGTAGAAGCTGGTCTGTTGGGTTTGTATAATTCAAAGCCGAGATGTCTGGGGATAACTATGCTTTTATATTGGCAATCTTTGGTCTTGACTATTCTTATGTGTCGTAGGTCAGCGTAGTTCATCAGTTAACCAGCACAGGGCATTCTAATTATGGCTACATGTTAATAGATACTATTACTTGTCTTCGTTACCTCTTTCTTTTTAGATTTTTCGCCGATATTCCAAGTCATAGCAACATTGAAATCTAACGTAGACGTACTAGTGATCCTACCGGATTTATACGATTTGTATGAATAATTCATACTCATAGTTGATCCATTTAGTTTCTCAAAATAGGTCGAAGTCCTACGAGGATCGTATCCTCTTTTGACTCTTATAAGGAATTGTTTACGGCAGAGTATTGCCTTTGCCGTAAATACTCGTACGATCAAAAATTTACGCTATGACATTACCAACCACAAATCCTTCCCAGGTTATGCATACCTAACCTAGCTAGTTAACGTTAAATGAAAATTCGGACCAACAAATTAATAGAATCTCAATCAATAGAATACGGATAAAACGGCATTTTAAGTGAAAAGTAGGATCACGTATGTTGATCTGTAGGCTGAAGAATTATCACTGCGGCTCGGTAGATACCACTCAATGCTTCTAGGTCGCTGTCCGGCTTATCCATACAACCTCGGTGTAACCACCCACGAGCATTGATAAACCAAAAGAAATTATGTGCACTTCTTAGGCATACTCTCGGAACTACGTCATGATCACTTTATATGACCTGTTTTCGAAAATACTCATTAAAAGTAGTTATCAAGTACATTCTAACACGTCTGATTAGGAAGTAATATTCATAATCTACTAAGGGCATACTAAGGACATTGTGGCTTCACAATTAAGACTTGGTAAAGAAACCGTTGGAACACATATACGAGTTTCAGGAGACTAAAGAACTCCAAGTTAGTATCGAGAGTAAAGTTGACTACCATTAATGATAGTATGCATCATGAAAACTATAGGGAATATAATTGTACGGATTGAATTATATCATGTATCCTCGAAAGAGGTCAGGTTGGGGGAGCCAATTTACGACGTAACATTATTTTTAGCATGATAGTTTGCTGCCGTCTTTTAGTCTTGCCGCTCCTTGAAGATATGCGCTTCTATTTTGATATTCTGTACAGATCTAAGGTCACTTCGTCTCCGGATCGACATGGATTCAGGCTTGGCAGGGCTGAGATCCTCCGGTGGGTTTCAGGGGTATGATTGATTCTCTATTCTCTATTCTAATTGGCTGATTGATACATCATTATGATGTGGGGCAAGAACAAGTCCTACACAATACGGTTGAGAGGCGTAAGCATAAGACAAGATCAAAAGAACGTATTCTACTTTAGGTTTTGTCTTATGTGGTTATCTTATTAATTAGGATCTGTGAATCTACCTATTTCCCTTGTCCAGTCATACCAAAAGTCACTCTCCATCATCCATCTTACGAGTATTGTTGTATAACTTTTATGGTATAACTTCATTCAACTGCTCAATCCTAAACAATGGCGCCATCTGAGAAATACCCATACTACAAGATCCACGATAAACAAAGTGGCTGGAACGGAAGCTTCAAGGTGTACACTATCCTGATTGACTCGGACGACGGGCGGGCGTACGAGAAGCTCTCAACTGACTCGGAACGCCTGGACTATATGCGCAAGCATGCGCATGATAGCTGGAATGTCGTTCGACCGGACGCCGCTTTCTATGAGGATCACGAGCTCGGGAAGAGATATACCATCAAGATAAACTCGCCCGAATACGAGAGATTGCAGAAGATGATGCGAAAGGACGGAGAATGTCCCGATGAAGGGACGAAGGAGTTCGATGATATGCTACAATATTATAAAGACCATGCCACTTCAGTTGAGGATATACCTGTGGGATCCCGCTGCTAGATATCAAAAGATAGGGGGATATTTAGAGTTACGATCGCCATCTATGTACCTACCTACTTATCAATTGTCTTCGTCGAGCATAACCCTACGAGCCCTGCTTACTGATGAAGATCGTTCGCTTGACAAGTCGGATAGAAGAGTTATGGAAACGATAATATCGTCCCTCGATGAAATAACTTCAAATAATCTGTTAGGGAAAGGGTATGAGCTTATCGGCGTAGATGAATTAAAGTCTTCAACTAGAGGATATTTAATCGGCTTAGTGTTCCTCTACAGTTGCGTCACACGATGTTGTATAGTCAACAGTCCCGTAGCTACTGATGGATAGTTGGAAGGTTGGAAATTTTGCATGGATCGTATTGTGGTCTTCTGTAAAGCACATAATATAGCTTTTAGTATAGGCACTGCTAATAGGTAATTATTGACCTCCTTTTCAATTTTACCGGTGACTTATTCCTATAGTACTCTTTCTAATGCTCTCATCGATAGTTACTTCCATAATTCGACAGCTGTCGATCGCTAATATTCTATTTCTAGACCATATATACCCTTATGATGCCCTTACTGACTACTGCCATTTCTTTTGAAAGTGTCGGTTTTATTGCGAACGTTGTGCCTGGTTTGCATCCACATTACGTTGGAACGGGTCTACTACAGTGTCCTTAAACCTTCTTGCACTGACTCCCTGCTCAAACAGGACATCTAATTCGCTATAGGTGCGCCCTTTAGTTTCGGGAAGAAAAAGGTAAGATAGGAGTGCAAGTAGGAAACATAGTCCACCCCAGAAGAACCCCGATTTTGCTTTCCAGTTCCACGCGTTTGGGTTGAGCATATATGGAATAATCACGGAATTCACGATTCCGAGAACGTTGAACAATATTCTGGAAATCACAAGTGTCTTTGAGCGGAGGCGCGTAGCGGAGAGTTCAGACACCAGAATATACCCAACCCCTCCAGCAGTACTGTTGTAAAAGAAGACGAAGGCGAGAAATATGCACCCGATAGCCCACGAGAGACTTGACTGTTCTTTACCAAGGGATATGAAGCCGATAGTGGACAGGATAATACCAAGAATGAACAGTCCAATGATATAGAGAGATCGACGTCCAAAGTAATAGGTGAGAAGAAATGATAGAATTGTTCCTAGAAAACCGGCTGCGTACTGCGCCAGTGAGAGGCTGAACGATGCGGACGTGGGTAGGCCTACTTGAACGTAGAAATAGGCTGAGTAGGCCATGAGACCGATTCCACAGAGAGCCTGACTAGTAAAGACGAGGCAGGTGATGCTGGTTCGTCGGCGGTCGACACCCCTGAAGCAGTCGAAGTAGGTAGTTCCCATAGATATATCCTTCTCAAGTTCATTTGTATGTATCATCAAAGAGATTGCTTGATTCGCGTTGAAATCAGACTTATCGCTTCCAACAAGACGGTTAAGGGCATCGAAGGCTGCCTCACGGCGATTGTGGCGAATATACCACCATGGACTCTCCGGTGCGAACACGACAGCTGCAATGATTAAGACAGGCCACGCCCATTGAATGGAAAAGGGAATCCTGTAGGACCATTCACTTGTGTTTTCGATTTGAGTTCTCAGGACACAAAGTGCAAGAAGTTGACCAATAACCCACGAAAGGTTGACGTATATGGTAAGACAAGGCCGTAGAATGACCATACAGACTTCGGAGGCGTAAGCAATTGTCAGTGTCTGGAAGGTTCCAAGGGGGAGGCCCAAAAGTATTTCGCCAGCGACGAGTGTCTGGATGTTCTCGGCAAAAAACAGCATAGGGACCAGTGCAACAACTGCGAATAGAGCTACTAGCATTGTCTTCTTATGGCCATATCGCTCCTCGACAAAGCCATTAAGTAAGAGGCCAAGGACCTGGCCAGCATTCATGCCACCGGACAGTCCTGCCTGCCAAGCTGCGTCAATACCGTATGTTCCATCCGGAAGTAGTCGACCATACTTTCTTTGGAAGGCTGGAAAGGCATAGAAGGACCCAATAAGGGCATTGTCAAAGCCTTCCATGATCACAGCTGATGAAATAACCATGGACCAAGCAATAGCTTTAGGGTATAGCTTGATCCCCTGCCAAACACTCATCTGATGTTCTCTAGTAGCAGCTGTTTGAGCATCACTGATGAATGAAGTGAAATTTTCGTCCGCCGCTGCCATAGTATCCTGCCTATCTCTGTCATCATTGAAACAAGACGATTCTATGGTTTCCCTGCTCATATTTGGATATTGGACTGTTGCTGGAGTTATTTTCTGAATGCCTAAATGGTTGATCGGGAAATGTTTTCAGATGGCAATGGGACGATAGTATTTATTTATATATTCCTAGCATTGGATACAGTTTTAGCAGTCCTTGAGGCTGAACCAATATCCAAGCCCGAAAGAGCGAGATATGCTTCAACTGCAAAGAGCACTGAAAATAAAAATCTACAAAGTCTTTCGAGATACATGTTTCTCAGTACATGATAACCCGGTTTAGAGGTATCTAGAAGTATACTCTATTAATTCTTAATTGACAGCCGCATCTTTGATCCAGTATCAATGCCCGAAGAGCGTGAGGTGCATAGCTAGCAAAACCTGCTTTAGTTCCCAATATCTTGGCCAGGTGAAAAGACGGTAACTAAGTCTAGATAGGAAGTATTATGAGATGGCGATTGTATATGCTTACACTTGATAATTTGCTTACTTGGGCAGGTACATTACGTTGGGTACTGTGCCCTCTGGAACCGAGAACTCCTCGGCTATCGACTATTCACATCAAGATTTGGTTGACCGGGCTTATTGTGGAGCGTAGGATTCATGTAGGTCGTTAGTTTTCTAGACGCAACGTGTCTTAACCCGGAAAATGGGGAATGGTGACTGTATCTAGCTGCGCTGAACTCTTCACCGGTTAACTATGCACGTCATCGCTACCCAATTTGCCCTATTTACACCAAATGTGACCCTGCTGCTACTAGTGACTTGATAGAACCAGGGAGCAGCACACCGGTGCCGATCCTAGTTGTTGATTGAAATTACTCAGAGACTAGAAATTTTTTCGTAGATGAATACACGCACAGGATGTAGTATGTCTACCTAGGTAGCTTTATATATCAACTGCCATGTCAACTACCCCCTAAATCTAATAAAAGCCTCATAGCGAAGAATTAATGTCAAGCTTTTGCCAAGAGCTGAAACTTGCACAACTCAAGAAAACCAATCTCACTCCTATATCTTTCTTTGGTCTCGATGTGGTGTGGCATATGCCAGAACCGAACGTCCCACGTCCGTGCCTATACTACTTACGCTCTATTCCAGCCTGCGAGACGTTGCCATTTTTCTTTGACAACCCTTTTAAGTGGTCTCCCAGCCTCTGAGCAAGTGCAACCAACGTCAGCGATGGGTTGGCTGCTGGACTTGCAGGGAAGACCGACAGATCGCAAACATATAGGTTCTTCCAGTCGTGGACCTTCAAGTTCTCATCTACAACACCGTTCTCGGGCTTCTCATCCTCGGGCTTTTTATCCTTACTCATTCGCATGGTTCCAACTTCGTGTGCCACAACTCCAAAATCGGCCCGGGATACTTCTGGCAATGTTTGTTTCGAGAGTTTGTCCTCGTTCTTGTCCTCGTCCACAGATAAAAGTTTCCCAGCTTCAAGTGCATCTTTGATAGCTTTCGCACGCCTTTTCATATCTTGCACAAATTTGCTATTGTTGACGCGAGAAGTAATCTCAATTGTCGGGATATCTTCTGGTAGGTTCAAAACTCTATTTTTCTCTTCCAACTTGGCCCCGAGGATGAACACAACCTGGAGTATGGATTTTTTCTTATTGGTAGATTTAGCAGACCTCTCCGCATCTCGAAATGTATATTCGTTCACTTCTTTACCGTCCGAAAGGAATTGAGTCGGAAACCCCATTTCTCCCCCCCAGCCAAGGAATGACTGGGCGTTGATGGTAATATTGAGGAGGCACCGGGTCGTTTCGGGGTTGGAGGGGGGAGTAGAGGTGGGATCAGACTTGAGTAAGATATGACTCTGCAGCCTAAGTGCCTGAAGGTTTGCGGATTCATCTAGATATTCAAAGCGAGTACCCCAGATATCATGGTCTGTGAGTCCCGAGCCGACAAGCTTGTTGCCCAGTCCACTTCGAAGAGCAATTATCGCCGTATCAATTGTGCCAGCGCAAAGTATGACGGTTGCTTTTCCTGTACGAATTGCGCGCTCATTGTTGAAATTATCGCGGATAATAAGGCTTCTCACGCTCTTCTCGTTATTATCTGTCGACATAGAGTCCCTCCGGCTGCCGTTCACAGCTACAACTTGGGTCTCAGGGAGCACATGCAAGTGCTCGCTCTTGTTGTAAATCTGTTCCAAGATCCAGCTGACAGTAGAGAACCCCCCCCTTGACATTTGATACAATTTCTCTCTGGGATTCCTATGAGTGAAATGTGCAGCCATGGGGCATAAGGTAAATTCTGTGCCAGTCCCCAGAGCACCAACAACTTTATCAATATCTTCATCAACGGTAGAATCGGAACTACTTCTGTAGTTGAAAGTTCCTCTGGGGTAGGGGTGTGACAAACATGCTCGAGGATCACCGGTCAGCAGTTTGTATGCGCGATCATACCCAGTCATCCCACCATTCTTCTTTTCCTCCCTGCATTGTATACACTCCTCTCTCGGTTGAGGTGTCGGCCCACCGAATAAGTAATCGCAAATACTTTTCGGGAAATAACCTTCAGCCTCTTCCTTGTTTATCCATGGCGTGTATAGACCCCAGACGTTGCTGCGTCCACCGAGACAATGTACTGGTCCACCAGCGTATGGGTTAGACCGCGAGGTTACTGTTGATACTGGGCTCTTGACAGCATCGTAGACGAAGGAGTTATCCGAAGAGGGTCCATCGGGGATATCTGGATTCCATCGGGGAGTAGGTGTATTAAGGACATGTGTGGAGAAGAAAGGCTTGCCCCTTTCAATTAGAAGAACACGGGGACAATCTTTGTCCTTAATGCTGAGCAGGGTTCTAGCTAAGACGCCACCACCCATACCACTCCCAACGATGATATAATCATAAAAGTCGGCCTCGCAAAGCCTGGCAACGTCATTGGTGCTGGTTGAGAGAAAGTGATTCATTTTGAGGAATGGTATCTTTCCTGGGGTCGAAGCTGATTATCCCAGAGTGTCCTTGTTGGATGAGTATTTGTGTTTGTTCCAACCAAACTATGGAAACTTCAAAAGAAGGCAAATGGAGATATGCTTAAGACAAGATCACTTCACAACATCCCAGCCTTTGGCAAACATTGAGGATTTAAGAATGTTGACAAGTTAGTTGAATGTTTCTAAAGGGTACCTAGGTATGAAACCATGCCGTTCAACCCTAAGGACGCAGTTTTAGGCTTCAGAATTCTAGGTTACGTTATAGCTCATGGTTTGGGCCGCCGTACACCTTGTATTGCATCTCATCGCATTATCCCTACATATACCGCGTTTATCGCCCTATGTTACTATAATATATTAAGGTGTGATTGAAGGTTAGTATGTTCACTTGTAGATTCCTTTATCTGACTCCTAATTACCTGGTTTCTATTGCCGCTATTATGAGGTATATAGATTGTTTCTAACTTACTCCACAGCCTACCTATTCTTGGGTAGCATTGCAAATCTTGGATTGAAATTGCGTAGAGTTATGTAGATCTAGATACCCAATGTAATTAGTTGGTTCGGTTATGAGCAATGCAGGGTGGCGTGGAATATACATACCTCCTTAGGTACCTAACTACTTAAATACAGTCAGGAAGCAAAAATTTCCCTCCTGGCGTTTCGAAATATGACTCGTAATATTTACTGATTAGTCCTAAACCCCGACAATGGAAATCGTGGTCGCCTATTGGAGCAAAACTGCGGTCGTACAAAAAAAGAAAAATAAACTTAGCACCTTGACCTTCGTAGAGAGATGAATAATAAGTGGACCAAAACTTAAAGGGGTAAAAGACTAACTATGCCAATCCCCTATCTTTAACTAGAAACATAAATGTTGACTAGAATATATTGGGGTTTTCTTCACCTTTTCGTCATTCTCTTTCTACCTGTGGCAAAGTTCAAAAGACTTAAGGTCACAGGACGACGTTGCAGAATAACGTCAAAAAAGTGCCAAAAGGCATAGCTTCACACATCTAAGTAAAGAAACCGGGGAGATCTACCCTTTTCTGTACTTATCATTCCGACCTATCAGATGGAGAGTTCCAGTGATGTAGGGTATCATTACGCTTAGACCCTTTTACTCCTTACAACAACAAACGGTACCTCCGGTTCCCCGGGGTACTTGAGGCTCTAATATATTCAAAATGCAACGTAATAATTTCATTCTATCCACCAGCTCTACCAATGTCGTAGAATAGAAATTTTCTAGAGTTGGCAGAATTTAGATACCTTTCTTCAAATCCTTTGTGTTAGGCAAGCCATGTGAGAACAATAATATGGCCTTTAGAACATATCTTGTAATGTAGCGTCTGAGCTGGCCAAACTAGTTTCTTGAGTTCCATTCACCTGCGGAATCACTTTACCATCAACCCATTCCACTGAGATACGAAACGTGACTGTGCCTTGCTGCCAGGCCTTTGTTACTGTTTGGGTCGTTGCAGGTAACCTTAGAAATCCTTTCCCACACCACCAATTTGCCTGCCAAACAAAAGCTAGCATGACGCGAGCAGAAGATGTCAGATTGGGCAGCCCAGCGTGCCAAAGGCGTAAGTCCCGAATTATGATGCTCCCCTTTCGTGTGCAGGCTCGAACCGGCGGTGAAATATCTTGGCGTTGTGCCACAAGTTCTGGGAGGATTGCGTGTACAGGTAGACCATCTTTTTGATCGAGGCTTAGGACCTGGTCGCTGAATGAAGTTGTAGTATGCGAACCTATCCAGACTTCAGTAGCTCCGTTATCTTCCGTCACATCCACGAGAGGTATGTTCACAACGAACGAGAAGGGAAAACGTGGATGTGGAAAGTCGATATCAGAATGAACAGGCTGTCGTGACGTGGCCGGCAATGCTGTATTGCCGCTTGCAAAGTGTAGTACTGGTGTAGGTCCTAAAATAGCAGCCAATATACTTAAGGCGAACGGGTTGGCCCACACGTCTGAAAACATGAAGGCCTCGTCGAGAGGAGGACCTAGGCTAATGTTGCCTGTATGGACACCGAAATTAAAACGCTCCTCTGACGTCTTGCTCAAGGTGATAGCTTCTGGGACAAGCATAGCGTTTAAGGCATCTAGATGCCCTACATCTATCACATTATCAAGAACGACAATCCCAGAATGGTGTAAGTGCCCGAGGGCCTCTGCGATGTGACTTGGAGGACAGATCCCTGTCTGACGCATCTCATCTGAGAAAGTAATGGTTGGTACCGAGTTACATGGCTGGTGTTTGGACTCCATGTCGGCGTTGATCTGCGATGAAAATCTCTTCTAGTATCTCAACGAAAGATTCAATTGATCTATACTCTAAATGGTCCTCTTTTCTATGCGTGAGCCAAAGTAAAAACTCATCAAAATACGAATACAAGGTGGCTTCTAATTATATGCCTCCTTAGAAAGACCTGCTTATGTGCCTCCTATATCATTACATTACTACCTACCTATGCATATGTATCATGCTTTATCTGATAGTAGCTCTTGACCGCCAGTCTTAGCTTGATACATAGGATAACGCGATTAAGTATTCTGGTGGCGAGATGTCTACGGGTCACTCTTCCTGTAATGCTTACTGGCGGCTGCTATAAAAGGTGTAGGTGTGTAGAGTAGGTACGTATGTAGACCAAGCGTGTTCACATCGACAAAGCAACACAATATGCCGATTATTGTCAATGACGTATTTACAAGTCGGTAGAGGTTTGGACTTTCAATCAAGGGTACGGCGAAGGGGGATTTCAGTAACTTCAGCAACAAAGGTGGCGGTTCGTTGAAGTTTGGTCAATCACAGAGTCAAGCTAAAGCGGCGTCATGATCCAGACCGTCGGATGAATTAGCGACGACATCACATGGAACGCTATATAACCTGTTTGACCTATATCATAGGCATACGTATATGTAACCCTCTCCGTCCACATATCCCGGAATTTCCCGCGATAGGCGCCCCGATGAGCCACGACGAATAGCAAAGAATATGACGTTGCTAAGACACGTCTAGAATATCATCTGGAGCAACAGGGGTCTTAGATTATGTGAAGCTTCGTGGAAGATGAATTTAGACGGAAACTATTTGCAAAGGCTCTTTGTCCCAAATTCTTGGCTCGACAATACTCGATTATCGCTACGGAGCTGAGAGCTGAGAAACACCTAGATTACCCCCGTTAGGCAATTACTGCCTGACGGCTAGGCATCAGACTGCAAAATATGGGGGCTAGAATCCTTCAGCCTGCCTAAATAGATACCTCAAGCTGCCCGCGCTATGCATCACCCGCACCTAGATGTATCATTTCGACGAGACTATCGTTTTTACACATCTTTAGCCTGGCTATCGTTCCATCTCACGTCAGAACGATGTCTGGCATCGTTTCCCTTCAAGCTGACATTGGGAACATTCCTTCGGGAGCTGTGGAGTTCCTTAGGTCTATTGCTCCTATTATGAGATCCCTGACAGCTGACAATGTGAGCCCCCTTGCGGTTATCCAAATAGAGGATATTGGCCGATGCTTTCAAACTAGCGGTCCCTTGGCAGATCGAACTCGGGATACCCTAACGAGGAGCGGCTCAATAAGACTTAGAAGGCTTCAGGTCTCGATAGGATGGATGGCAGGGAATACTGCTGCGGCTCTGTCCCAGACCACGGGCGGGCAGGCTGCCACACTCCTGATTCTTTGCCTGGTGGAGATGTTTTGCCGAAACTCCACGGGTCATCTGCTATTCGAACTTTCCATGAAGATATTACCTCCGGATCAATGTCGAGCAAGTATGGCGCACCTTTCGGACCTTGCAGAAATCATCTCCAACAAGCTGCAGCCACTCGGATTTGGGCAACACCATGCGATTCAACTTACTCGAATTAGAGAAGTGTATCTTAATTCCGGCATTGAGATACCGCCTTCTACTATGGAATCATTTCTAGAAAGGCTAAGCATCGAATCTATGGTGGAGCTATTGAATGCCGTACAGCAAGCACTTCGAGATGAGACCACCATGGTGCATATTGAGGGATTTCAGGGGCTTGGTGGCATTATTGCACTCCTCACGGCTCTATGCCCTGACGATATCCTCTTACTGGTGGAAAATGGCATCCTGTTCAAGGGCCCGAGAAAGTCCATCATGATTTCAGTTATGCACCAGAAGAGAACTACAATATCTGTGGAAAAGCTCGCGCTGAGGCAGCTACCCCTTACTTTCCGCAACAGCGAGTTTCTATCGCAACCAGGAAGGCTTTCTTCTTACGAGCACTGTACCGTGAAGGTCAAAGGCTGCCTAGCTAGGATGGTAGAACAGCTTTTCATCCCCATAACCTTTCGGTCTGTGAGAGGGATAGTCACTAGTTTCACTGATCTCATTGGAGCAATGGTATTTTCATTCATCGGGACTGAATTTGGTTCAAACGCTCACTTCCGCCGTGATGGCCTCCATTCGCTTCTTGGACCTCATTTTCATGAAACTATTCGTGGCAAGTTGGGTCTCTTCTTCGAAGTCGAACCATCCCTTGACAACCCTGATCCGGCCCTAAAATACGAAGCGTTACGAAAATCCATAGCTAGTGTCATCTCGAGCTCCTCCTGCGTTTGTTCCCAGTGTGTCTGTACGCATAACTGGGCTGATATGTCATCCAGGAGGTGTCGCTGTCCGCTTTACAGTATATGGGGCGGCCTACAAACACTAGTTGGCCAAGCTGTTCTGCTAAGCCTGGTTGACACGGACCTAGACATGATAAAAATTGTTCAGAGTTCTCAAAACCAAATGGGTCGACATCTATGCCGTCGCCTCATGCATCATGTTCTTCCCTCCGATGACTCCCTACTCGACCAACAAGAAGGTAAAGGGGGCGAAGAAATATATTCCACTCACAACCTTCACACCGATCTATGTGGGCTGTTTGGATCTATACCCTCAAATGCTGGCGGTGGGCAAAATATCTTGGGGACAAGCAACGGTGCAACATCAATCTTCCCATCCACTCTGAATACGGCATTTCCCAATGAGGAGCGTATCATTCGGTACATTCTTGTGGATGGCCAGTTTCATGATGGCCATAATTATTACACAGCTCCGATTGAGGATGAACATGTTCTTCCGCGCCCCTTGGCTGAAGACTCCATCCTCCAATCCACGAACACGATCCCCCTATCCCAGGCAGGAACTCATTCACAAACTACCTTATCGCTACGGCCATACCATAACTCGTTATCAGTACGATTCATAGCACTTTTTACATCCAAGGTGGTAAACATTTGTTTCTACGCTACACATCTGGCTTACATGGCTGCTTCAATTGCCCCTCCTTGCGACCACGATGCTGATGCCTCAACCACTACTCACGACAAAGATTCCATTTTAACAACAGGTGTCGATTCTCCTGTTGCTAGCGGTGATCGGATGTCAATAGTATTGACGCATGGCAACCATGAAGCGCAGTTTCTAGCCGCAGTACTGGGCATTCCTACACTGTATCAAGGCGCTAGCTGCCTGGATTGCATGATAAAATTCGCACAGACTGAAGGATTTCGATTATTGATCCAAAATTAGCCACGGCCTGGCATAGGATCTGGAGACGAGCTTTCGGGTCCTGTTAGTAATAGCCAGGAGACAGTACAAACTATTCTCAGGATCTACGTAACACTTCACCTAAATAGGTACATTCTAGAAATTGGTTATGATTAATGTCAGGGTATCAGTGGGTAGTGGTAGTTACAGGGGTCTATCTACTATATAAGGGGCGCACAGCGCCCTCATAAGAAGACAGAAGGCCAGGCGTCACACTAGATCAATACAATACATTACTTAGTCTACCTACCCTAGACACACACTCTGTGTATGACATCAATCAAAGGGCATAAATCCTGACAACTAAGATGTGAGGCGTGATACGATACAAATAAGGCGAGAAATACGTTAGGGACTTATTTAATTATGCACCTGTGTTTTGTGCCTCTACCTTCAAGCAAAATCTTGTATTCGTGTGTCTAAGAATCTAGGATTCGACGCTCTACAGGGCCTAGACGTGAAGTATTATATTATCATGCGCATTTCAAATAATAGGGACGTAATAACACATCTTATTTTCAGGGTCCCAAAGCTGCTTCAGCTTTCTCAACTTCTCCAGCCTCCACTCCTCCCAACCATAGACTTCCTGCAAAGACTCATCGCCGTTTGCATAGTTCACGTACGCCCGAAGGTGGTCCGGATCATCGCTCCCTTCCAGTAAGTAGTTCCGCAATTTCTTCCCGAACCCTTGTGCGGCCGCGTCAATAGATTCGTTGGGCTTGTACTGTACGTAAGACGTCACTAGGACCTCGTCACTTCGGTGTGGGAACGCGGTGCTCGCTTCTTCGATAGCCTGCACACCTTGGGTTGAATAACCTTCAAGCAAGAAAAAGGACCCTGCCAACTCGGGGACTTTTCGAAAAGTCTCGTCGATCTCATTGTAAACTTTCCTGACGGACGCCGTGTTGTACGATTTCAGCCCTATGGGATAGCGGAGGGACGTCAGGCCCTTTGCACAGCCAGGGCCGTTCTCATCTTGAAAGGTGAGGACCGCCAACTCGGGTATCGTTGCCTCACCCGCATTGACCATAATTGCCTCAATGGCATGGATAGGTTTCGCATATTGGCGAGCTTCAGGGGCTGGTCCGTCATAGATTATAGCGTACCAGATAATGGGCTATAAAGCGTCAGTCTTGGTTTTCTTTAGAACCTTATGTACGTACATGCTCAGGATCAATGTCTGCGACTTTGGTGATATAGGTCCAATGAGTAACTTGGGGTGGTTGAGTTTTAATCATTTCATTGGTGAGATCATAGAGAGTTTCGAGTTTGTCGCCCGAGAAGACAAATATCTCATAAGACCATTTTGCATTTTTGATATCATAGACGCGATACTTCCATTCCGTTATCAGACCAAAGTTATGACCCGCGCCCTTGATCGCCCAGAAAAGGTCTGGGTAAGATTCTTCAGATACGGTAACGGCATCGCCGTTCGGAAGCACGAGCCGAGCTGAAATGACTTGATCGGCCGGTAGACCGTATTGACCTTGAAGCCAGCCATGGCCGCCTCCCAAAATGGGTGCTGAGACTCCGACGGACTCGCAAATTCCAGTAACTGAAATCATCAGCGCCTGAATACCTCTTTGCCTTTGCCAATTAGCTCACCTGCTTGCTTCCCTAGTTTTCCGAGTGCCTCAACAACCCCCTTGACTGTTGCTCCTCCACCAATTATCGCTGTCTTACCGTCTTCGGATAGCTCGACCTGGCTGAGCTTCCGAAAGTCTATCTGAATAGCATCTTTCGCAGAAGCCATCGCTTCTGTGGCGCCGTGGCCTCCCGACCGGGCGATAAAAGGGAGGTCATACTCGTTGGCAAACCGTACCTAGGTAGGTAGTTAAGCGAAGTAATCTAGTTATTAGTTGATTGTCGCAAATGAGTGCTTACCACCTGTTGAACATCATCTTCGGTAGCCACCTGGACTACGGCGGCGATAGTAGGGGCACGCCACTCTCTCCATCGGCTCGTGAGATTGGCAAAGTTCGCATCGCCAGGAAGAACGACGGAAGCACTCGGAGATAGGCGCGACCCGAGATCAACCTGCAGATCAATATTTTTCGAACTCAGCGACGCCATACTAAGTTTTTTTTTCAATGAGCTTCTGAGTCGTAACAGTTATACTGATGATCTATATCGAACGAAGTCTCATTTATTTACTAAGGTGTGGAATAAAGGTAGACAATGAGATGAGGGGTTGTCGTGTTAGATTGCAGCAAGGGATGTTTCGGCTAGATGATCCAAATAGCAATCTCTAAATGAATCTATTTATAAAAATATATAATTTCTGGGCACACCATTGGTACTACGAATAATAATAGTAAGAGTGGTATTTATTAAGATATAAATACGGTGTAATAGTAGTTCGGTACTTGGCGGCTTAGGTGACTCGGATGATTCGGACTAACATCCTGTAAGCAGGCGTGTTGATTTTTCACCATCGAGCAACATCCATACATAATGATATTTCATGTCTCGCGCGAATCAATCCACGATGGCCTAATCAAATCAATGTGCTCGAAGGCGAAGGGATCGAGCCGTCAAAGAAAACTACTGTTACCTGTATTGGTAGTATAATAGGAATGACAAGTGCACCGGGATTATTGGTGCCCCAAGCATTGTAGGTAAAGTACTAATATGATAATGTAGCAAGTATAGTGAAGCTATATTAAATATCGTATAATAGCCTAGACCCCGAGTTCCTCGAATACTGTCAAGTGAGAGCTCGCGTGGTAATTAAGTGCTACTCACGTGCGCTTGGCCGTGATGAAGTCCATGGGTTAGAAATCCAATCGCATTGAATACTCTCCACTGTTTTGAACATAATTCTTTAGGACGTCAAAATCCTGACACTGTCGTAAGAAACCACTCCCTAGGAACCCGTTTGGATCATCCTCCGCGGACTCGATCGTACTATCCACCGGACAGATTATAATACTTTATTTAAGATAATCAAACCAATGGGCGGCGTGGATGGAGTGATTCTTGCCAAAGTCAAACTCTTCAAGGTCATCGGACCACGAGTAGTATGCTCTCCTTAAAATATAAAGGCAGTACGGGATATACTGCCCGTTTAGTATTGCTCTATAATAATTTGCATTTATCATTTTTATAATAACATCAAAACACATAAAAGGAATTTCAGCGTGATAATATCAGGTAAAACAAAGATATAATATATAAAGAAGCGAAGCCACAAAATAACGATGATGTAAGTGATAGGCCAAGTCTTTTAAACCGGAAGAAGCAACAATTATATTTAGTGAACCACTGTGTAGCATAAAGCCAAATTTTCCAGCTGCCCCTTTACAAATGAAATATACTTAACCCAGCAATTTAATGGCTCTTTCAACGCATTTGAGTCAGGTTAACAACCGTCTAGGGCTCATATTCATGGCAGCGTTCTTCTGTCTTATGATAACAACAGTAGTCTTTTACAGATTCTATGCCAGGAAACTGGTTAAGCTTGGTTATGGCATTGATGACTGGTTAGCACTTGTGGCATTGGTGAGTTCAATACAGATCTAGTCTCAGGCGTGATGCCGCAAACTTTGACTATTGACATCATGGTATAAAGGTCTTTGTGCTTACACTTAATGGAATATTTATTGGTGGCACAGCCCAAGGTGCAATCACCGGTCACTCTCCCATTGAAAATAACTGGCCCGTAACTACAGATCTCGAACACACAGCACAAAAATACAAGTATGCCTTTCAGATAACAGAAAAACTCACATTTGGGTTGATTAAGTTGTCAATTCTGTTCCTCTGGAAACGCATATTTGGTCCAACTAAGTACTTCACCACACTTTGCTGGCTTATGATTGGCATTATCAGCGCGTGGTCCTTATCGTTTTTTCTCGCAACCGTCTTCCAATGTGGTACCCGATGGACGTGGAACTGGGCGCCTATAGGCATTTTCCTAACCCAATGCACCCACACTTTAAATCTACTTACAACTTTTACCGGGACAGACGTGTTAACCGATTTTATTATCATGTTCATGCCTGTCCCCCTTATTTGGAGGCTTCATATGCCGATCAGGAATAAGATTGGCGTAACGAGTATATTCATGATTGGTCTATTGTAAGTCTTTCAGTTATTATATGATATTCTTCTACTATATACCTGCGAGACTAATTTCAGCCTAGTACAATCGCTGCTGGTATAGCTCGGATGTATATCTACCTTGTAACTTCTTATGATAAAGAAGATAATCCGGACTTCATCGCGGATTTCACTTTATTCATTCTATGGTCAGAGATCGAAGCCAATGTTGCCATGGTCGTATGTTGTATGCCGACATTAGCCCCTGTTCTAGCAAAATGCAACAATTGCGTTACTTTTCTCTTAAAAAAGGGCCGTCCTGATAAATTGACCATCCCATCTTCTGACCTCTGATAGAAAGGTCAATATAGAGCAGTCTGCCGCTTTGGAAAGAATGTCTCCACCATCGAAGATATTCTAGCACGACGGAATAGTGCCTTGGGGAGATGTTCGTGGGGTAATCACAGAAGCTGCTTGTGATGATGTTGGAAGTCAATCTGAGCATAACAACATAATAAAGGGATTACCACACGCGTTGAGAGTCATAGAAAATTTGAACACGGGGTACTCAAGTCATAAATGAGGAGGGGAGGGTAATTTGATTTCTCCATTCCAGTACCGGGTTAAGGTATCATAAAATTAGATCGGAGTCACATCCTATACAGGATCATTATTTCTAACGAACTTAGTAAATGTGAAGTCTACATAGTATCAAATACCTTAGGTACCTATATGACTATATTGTTAAAGGACTAACGGAAACCAGAAAATACATTCATTTATCAGGTATTCGGGTGTCTCGGAAGCGTTGGCAGTAAGGCTATGATAAAACAGCAGGTTACTGGACGGCACAGCTACAACACCTACATATGTGGCGACACACCAACCCAGTTGGAATTACTATATGAAGACCATTGGGTGGGGCATCTCATACCCAAGTTTCCCTTTAACATCAATAATACCAACATGTACCAGGTATCAACCATATATGACAGGTACCTGTAGGTATTTATAGATTTACTGCGTTGGAAGTCACAATATTAAATTATTTGCATTCAATCCTTTCAGCAAACAACTACAAGTACATAGAGTACTCATCTTGCCACAATCCGATCGTGGCCCCTCATGTCCCCTAAGCAAATATTCCCTCCCACCACAAAAGTCTCCGTTTCTCTATTTATTCTATAAAGATACTACTGTTGTTGCTTTTCCTGGCATTCGAATATCGAAATCTCTGTAGGTTATAGAGCTGTGAAAGGTTACTGCTTCTTGAACTAGTGATGGCTGGCCGTGCCATTTCAATACGCTTTGGCCTGGGCGCACTGGTCTTCGGCCTGCTCGCCGTATTCCTGAAGCCATTCCGGGAATTTCTACTTTTAAATGCTAGTCGCTATAACATTCAACTACCCTTTTTGGAACAGACATTTCCAGTTATCTCAATTGACCATATCCGCGAAATTACCTACATCGGCAATTATTATAATGGCGTTGATCATTTTCAGAATATCTTCTATGCGGAAGATACTTCGGGCAATAACCGGTTTGCACCACCCGTTCCTATCAAGCATGAGAAGGGATCGTCTATCGACGCTACGCGGTCCGGTGCCTGGTGTCCGCAAGGGACAGGTGATGTTCTTCCGTTCACGAGTAAAGTTGTTAACATTAGCGAGAACTGCTTGAGCCTAAGGATTGCTCGACCACACGGCACAGCCCCGGATGCCAAATTGCCGGTAATGGTCTGGATACACGGAGGTATGTGTGACTTATCGTGGTTTATCGGCCATCATACGAGACTAATTAATTAATATCACCAAACATAGGCGGTCATGCTCTAGGATCAGCATCAGATGTCCTGTATGAACCTGATGGTCTAGTGAAACAAGCTGCTGCAGATAGACAGCCGGTAATTTTCGTTGGAATCAATTACCGCCTTGGCTGTATGTTCATCATGGAATGTCCTATTTTTGCGGATAGCTCTTCTGATATATCTATATGTAGTCTTCGGCTTCGCGGCTAGCAAGGCGTTACTAGATACTAAGCATACTAACGCTGGCGTACGCGACCAACGCGCTGCACTTGAATGTATGTGGCTCAAATAGTGTACCTACGGCCTGTTTATATTGACAAACCTTTCATAATAGGGGTTCGTGACAACATCGAGAGCTTTGGTGGTGATCCACTGCGTGGTAAGTATCCCTTGATAACACAGGTTTGCAAGTTCTAACTTCCATAAAAGTCACTGCCGTCGGTCAAAGTGTTGGGGCCAGCGATATCGCTTTGCAGTTACTTGCATTCGGAGGGAAAGCTGATGTCCCATTTCAACAGGCCATGTAAGAAATATTCCGGTTTCGAACCAACCCTACACCTTCGCGCTAACTACCTGTGTTATAGTATGATATCCGGTAGTCATGGGCTAAACATCAACACCAAATCGGATCTCGTAGTAAATAACACTGAGGCCGTTGCTAAGGAAGTAGGATGTATTAAAAATGGGAACAGCCAATCGGTGGAGACTTTACAATGTTTACGGGAAGCGCCTTTTGAGCTACTAACCAATCTCTCCGTTACGGCTTCTCGTACTGCGCGCCCACCATTCGGGGAAGCGTTTTTCTATCCTACGTATGACAATGATTTCCTGATCGACCGCCCTTCCCAATTGTTGCACGCCGGAAAGTTCACCAGGGGAATACCGGTGATTGCGTCCTGGGTAGCAAACGAGGGTGCTTGGTACCCTCCTCCTACGACGTCAACTGATGAAGATGTCCTGGCTAACTTTGGGCTATGGTTGACCGGCCACTCCGAGTCTACAAAAGCGAAGCTCCTAGAACTATACCCCGTCGAAGATTTCGAGAGCATGGTGCGGCCAGAATACGACGGACCCATCACAGCGCAGTACTATCGCGCAGCGCAACTAACCAAAGACCTCTGGTTCACCTGTCCCGTGCTCGATTTCGCATGGCAATACGTGAAGAACGGTGGTATAGAGGCATCACAACTGCGAATATATGAGCATAATGCAACGCGATTCACGCCGTCCTATGAGATGATGGGCGTGCCTATGTGGCGTGTGGCCCATCTCAGCGATATCCCATATGTGCTAAATATCCAGCGTTTAGGCGGAGGCGCGGACAACTCGGTATTTCAGCTCGAACTAGCGAAAACCATGAGCCGGAGCATCGCGAAGTTCGTAACGTCTGGGAGTCCTGATGGTGGATCTGAAGGATGGCCCGCGGCATTCGATGGAGTAACAGAGGAAGAATTTAAGACAGACTTTCCGAGCCGGTTTACATTGAAATTATTTGGTGGCCCGCATGGTAATGCGGTCGTTTCTCTCAGAAAGGGTGAAAATGAGGCCGCGAGTACAGCAGCCGAGCAAGCTGTTAAATGGGAGAAACTGTTCGAAAGGTGTGAGTTCATCAACAGTGAAAAGGTAAGAGAGGAGAGCGGGGTTTAATCGAGTATTTCCAAGAGATGAATCACCATGGATTCAATGACTAGGATTATTCTAGACTATTATATTCTAGACTATATAATTAGTTCTATGATGAGATATATTGATTAAAAAGGAGGCATTCACGTTCACATACCAACCCCTATTTTTATGTCCCGAATAAAACTTCCCCCTTATCGAAAATCCCCCAAATATTAATCATAACTACCACTCAATCCATACTTCCTTTTCAACATATTCATAAGGTACTCATACTGATAGCATTAACCTTTAAAATCGGAGTAGTTTCATAAGATTTATTTAAATCATTTGAACCTTTTGCATTTAAAACATTGAATTATCTATTTGCCTGAAAAATAAGGCCATATGTCTATCACCTGGCAACGGCCCGACAAGTTTTCCATGAATTAAACCTTCAGAATATTCAATCTACATCCGAGCTTACCTCAGGTATTAATTCAACCTTACTCCAAAAGCCACCGTAACGACAAGATCGGTAATAAAAACAAATAAAGCATGTTTGAGGAACTTCTCGAAACCTGCAAGAGGCTCAAGGGATCTCCGACTCCGTCGTGGGAAATTCGCGAGGATGTTTTACGACGTATGCTTCTTCCGCATCTCATCTCATCTCATTTCATTTCATCCCGTGAGACAAACTAACAAACAAACCGTCACTCTAGTGGTCCCCAACGGATGCACCGCACAAGATCTGAAGGATTTCCTGTTAATAAGCAGAGATGAACTGGTATGCCTTTAGAATTGATGATTTAACTGAGCTTTCTCATAAAGCCGTGAAGCTAAGTGAGCATATACAGGATCACGTCGCCGTACTCTTAGCCGCGTATGCTGTTGCGCTCAAGATCAGCAACGACGCCAAGGGGCAGGACCTTATCGACGGAGATGACTTGGACGACACGCTCCATGACATCGCCGAGCACATCAGCTCTCTCATCCTGCCTCTATGCTCCGGCGAGTCATTAGACGAAGGTATGAAGTTCTGATTCTTTGTCACATAGCAAGAGGAGCGATTACTGATGATCTACAAACAGATGAGACAGATTACAACACCCTTCAACGCAAAGGCGAACTAGGCCTCCTATCTCTAGACGCACTCACCAAAATCCCTTCCCGCACAGCTCCCCTCCAGCTCCCTAACTCGGCACTACTCCGCATAACCGCTTTCACCAACGCCACAGACCCCTGGACAACAGCAGAATCGCACAGCCTGTCGCAATCGCTCCTCGCGGCCCAACTCCAGCACCTAGGCGATTCCCAAACAAGGACCCTCATCGTCGAGGACATCCTGACCAGCTTCCTCCGCCCGCTGTTCTCCAAGTCCCGCCCGCCAGCCATCACCGCATCCGGGCGCAAGGCCGAGTACGTCGAGCCGTCGCGGTACGACGGCGCCTCCCGGGAATCGCCCGAGACGAAGCCCTGGAAATACGCTCGCCGGTACGCCGTGGCAGTCTTCGCGTGGGCGGTGGAGCATGCCGATGTGAGTTGTTTTCTTGCGTGTTTAGGTACTCGTTCAATCGAGAATCAAACCCGTCTTCTATGATATATGCCTACCTACCTACATAGGTATATAAGTCCACATCTATAACCTAAACACTAACTCGCCTATAGTCCCCCCTCCTACAAGCCCACTGGCCGCTCTTCACCCCCGTACTGCTTACTCTTATCGACGAGCCGGGCCCCAGTACTTTCAAGGTACGCGCTCTCGGCGTGCTACGCGCCTTTTGGGCGCGCTGCCCCGTGGGACTGATGCGGGATACGGGACTGGGCGAAGTATTCGAGCAAGCCGTGTTTCCTGCAGTCCTGTATCTTCCAAGCTTAACGCCTGAGGACGAATCTTTAGACATTCTCGGCGCAGCGTATCCTGCGCTGATCGAGATGGCTGGTCTCACAGTCGATCGGCCATTAGTAACAACAGGCGTAAACACGGCGGAAGAGCAGAAGCAGACACAGAAATCAACGCACCAAATCACAGAATCACAGCGGAGACTACTGGATAAGATCATTAGAGAAGGCATCATGATCGGGTATCATCACGCAAAAGAACACGTGCGGCTCGTGGGCCTATTCTGCGAGACGCTCGTCTGTATTATAAATGGGATGGGTATACTAGCCGTGAAACACCTAAAGGTACCGTCCTTCCTATTGTTTCCGCTTACACCCACCCTGAATTCCAAGCCAAACCAAACAAACTCAACACACAGCCTTGGTTCCTATTATACAAAACGCCGCTTCAGCTATGAGATACCCTTATTAATATAACAGGAAATAGGATTTCATCCCCATGCTCTCCGAGATTATGACCGACCCTTTCGGCACCAAGCACCCGCCAACTCTCACCTCGGCCACCAAACTCCTGCAGGCTATCCTGCGCAATTGCTGGCCCAGAATTCAGCATTACTGCAATGAGATCATCAAGGTGCTTATGTTGTGCTGGCTTAACATCGAAGACGAGGAGTCTTTTCCGCACAATAGCCCGATCGCAAACGACTTGAAATCCGGTCTAACCCAAACCGCTACGATGCTATCTGCAATAATGAAAGCAGCCCATATTGACTTCAGACAGCGCATTGACCCACTAATTGAAAAGGAACCTCAGTTAAGCGAGCTCTTCGGAGAGACAAACTCAACGTAAAAAGGACGCCTCAGGAAGACACCGAAAACTCGGACAAATTATTGCTCACCGACCTCCACGCGGCCGAATCCTAGTCGACCGGCTGCTGCTTGAAGAGGGATTTACCTCTAAGCCATTTCCTATATGCCTTATACCGTTTCTTCGGCAAATCCTCATCCGTCACGGTCAGTGGGTTTTCGCCAATCCGCAGCAAGTCATTATACGCGTCGATGTCATCATCAGTACCGGTCGAGACTAGACCTTCCGTGTGCCAGCTCCCGTTAAGGTACTCTTGGTATTCGGAGGAATCGACGTCTGGCGGCGCCTCGTTGGAGATGACCAGGGGCAGACTCTGTGGGTGGCTGATATATCGCGCGTAATCATCCGCTTCTTGCGTACTCACTGACGGGTTGAGCGACTCCTGGACGATATTCGTGAAAGTCCACTGTGCAGTCTTTGTTTTCTCCTGAGCGGTCTGCTTTAGCCTATGACTGTCGCGATTCTCTGCCGAGTCTTTCATGATGCTATGAGGAATCGTAGGGCCGCGGTCCGGCTGCATAGGCTGGAGCCAGCGTTGAATGGATATTCCCCGAGAACTCGTCTTTTCCGTCACGGCGGACTCGGAGTCGTCATCCGGCGAAGATTTTCGAGAATCTTGAGGATCAACGATAATCACCTCCTTCTTTGCTGTTGACTTTTTCTTCTCGTGGGTTTCCGCGTCGCCATCGGTGCGAACGCGGAAAGGGCTCAAGTCATATTTGCCTTCCTGGGTCGACTTGAAAGGTATATACTTGATAGTAGAATTCATCTTGTACGGAAACATCTTCGGAAATGAAGACAATGTTGACGGTCGATAATACTCCAGCCAATAGTCATCGAAGAATGAGACAGGCTTCGTCGCCATCTCTTTTTTGGGTGGTACAAAAGCAGGTATAGTCCGCTTCTCAAGATATGCCGGAGTGTACCAATGGATATAATCGTGCTTCTCCTTTTGCGACCATGTTCGCGGATTAGCATGGTGGAGATAGTAATCTGTTGATAGATCCCACAGCATAGGTTGCCCTTGAGCAAAGATATAATTCCCGAGGAAGAGGTTATAGGCTTCCTGTCTTTGACTATCTAAGAACGAGTTATTATAATATCGCTTGAAGCTCTCGATCATATCACGGGAATGGCTCGTCCATTGGTTTATTTTGCGGTACGTCTCCATTGTATTCACCAACTGGGAGCCTCCATACTGAACCGCGATCGTATCACCATGATCGTGGTACATGTGAGTAAAGAGATTAACAGCGTCCGTGTCGTAATCAATAATTGTGTCTTCAAGAATACCGAGTGCGTGAAGCTGGTGTCCAAGAGCTCGCTTTCCAATGACAAACTGAGCTGCATTAGTACGGTCTAAGCAATCGATACAATTTGTTCTCGCGACACCGTTCTGAACACTAGTTGGAGTGATATCGCCGTCGCCATTGTGAAAGATGCCGGTCGTAGTAACGACAGTCTCAGCAATATTCTCAAGCGTACCAATGACATCTTGATCTTTGCTTTTCGCGGCCCTACTCATATCCCAAGCTTTATGGATGATCTTGTGTCCTTCTGGTAGAAATTGGTTCAGATAGTTGATGGCATTTGTATACTCGTCAAGTAATTTAGATTCCCGCGGAGTCCTCTCTCTAGCTTTAATGAGATTCAGCGCATACACTGGAGACCCATAACGTTCGAACAAGTTGTCAAAATGCAGTGCGGCTGCCGTGTAAAAGGGATCGATGAGATTCAACTCGATCGGCGGCTTAGGGGTAACGCCCATATTATCCTGCGTCCAATGAAGAGGAATGCTTCCTCTATGCTGGACATAGGAAGTAAACTGCGGATTCGCAAAGAGCTTGGGGCCAGGAGAATGGAACGAAGTCGTCAATGCTTCGGAAACGATCTGCTCAGTCTCAACATCGTTCGCTACATAGCCTAGATCATTGGCCCCACGCTTCAGGAATCTAGCACCAGCGAAATATCTTGACCGCCTCGCAATTATGGTGATATGTGCTGTCCTGCCGTATATAGATATGGCAGCCTGATCAATATATCCATGTATTATCGGACGACACCAATCAAATGGGTCATGAATAGCATCCTCGGCGGGTCGCAAAAGATGGCTATTCCAGATGAACATAGAATTATAATCGTCATATGTCGTACCTGGCATTCCATGCAGTAAAGCAGTCCTTTCTCGGGTGATGTTGTGTTGCAAAGTCCTGGTGATGTCGTAAGAGTAGCTATAGTAGAAAGATCTTGTGAGATCTAGGTTCTTAAGAATATTCAGGAAGCGCTGCTCCTCGACATGGCGAGCATCCGTCTTGTACTTCGCTGGAGTTAAAGGAATGAGTTCAGTCCCGTCGATCTGGTAAACATAATGGCCGCCAATCATCGCAACCGTGCTTTTCTTGGTGATCAGTAACATGTAGTACGGTCCTGTGAATTTGATGAAGCCTAAAATCCCCCAAGTCGTACATCGCTGCTTAATACCACCCGTGCTCTTGTTTCCGTCGTCAATAGTATTCAGCAGCGAGTTCATCTCTTTCTGACTATAAATAATTTTATCATCCGTTATAGTCAGGTCAGAGTCGTGGGTATCAGACTCGTGAGTGTTACGATCTATTTTCAAGATGCGATAGCGTTTCTCGGTAACATCTCCTCCCACAATGTAGTACCGACTCGCCGTTTCGTACAAGGTGAACTTATGCATCTTGTAGGCGGATCGAATGGGAGCTCGTTCTTCTCCAGGCGGAGTGGCGACCCTAGACGACATGTCGGGGCTGCTTGTTCGAAGAAAAGGCCTAGCAACTGGTTCCTCATCATTGTCGTCCTCGACCGTCCGCTTCTGCGCTTGCACGTTGTGTAGTAAAGTTTCGCTGCTAGCATTGTTCTGCAATAGAGGATACGCAGGCTCTAGACGATCCGTATCATGCCGGCATTCGTCATCAATTACTCGGTGGCTAACATCATGAGTCTGGCTTGGTGGCTGAGAAGCTTGGCCATTGCTGGCCGTTGTACCGTCCTGGTCGTTCACGTCGGCCATTAGAACCGACACGGGAGTCCCTATTGAAGCATGCTCCTAAAGTATACGGAGGAGCCTTATCCTTATTTTTCCAATAATATTTAATATTTACGATGTATGAGAGCTGGCAAATTTACCGACCCGCGTTGTCAGAGAAAACGAGTTTAGCGATTCCGGAAAGTGTAAACTTTCGAAACTGTAACGACTTCAATGAGGACGAGACCCCGGGACCCTGGGACCCTGAGACCCCAAGTCTAAGAGGCCTGTAATTCGTACAATTTATCGATAGGGAAGATAAGCAGGTGACGGTAGCATGCGCCATGTGCGTAAAAGCATAAAAGCGGAGCAAACCTAAATTTCATTGTTCTATTCCGTACTGTTACGTCATCGCGTTATTTAGACTTTATTTAAACTTTCTTTATTTGATGTAGTTACGGATTAATTCCATCCACGTTAAAGAACTGATACACCGGTACCAATTCTTACTTATTCGTAAGCTGTAGCGCATTCTTACGGACTTCTATATCGCCCGATTAGTATTCTCGAATTCTCCGTAGTGAAACGGGCCGGGGTTTGCGCCTTATCCCAACAACACTGTCTCATGCTTAACGGAACCGATGCGTAAATAGTTGACCCAGCGGTAACGAATAATAAAGGCTTTGTGTAAGACTCCTTCGTACATGTTTAATACGACGAAACATCCAGTATAGAAATGCACCAATAGCGATTAATAGAACTCCAACTCCACCGCAAACTTGTGGCGAAATATGTATAATAACTAGTAGATAACTACGTGATCATTCCATAGATTATAAATTTGTATATTAAGATATTCTCGATCCGACCACCGCAAGTAAACTATCTGCATGTGTTGCTACATAGAATGCTACTATGTTGTGTGTATTAAACTCCAGTGTGTGGAAATGGGGTCTGCAGGTACAAATGCTGACCGCTGTCCACAACTCACGCAAGGTTCATACACCGAACTGATCTGGCTGGATTAGGCAAGCCGTTAAGGATAGTTGGTGTGAAGCACCGTGAAATGCTACTTCAAATGGTGCTATAGTCAAGTGTATAGTCAAGTGCTTGGGCGAGGAAGAATATCAAACCCTGCTTGCAAGAGCCGCATAACTTTAACGGCAAGTCATTTGCAACATATGCAGTAAGACGCCAAAAAAAATCCCCGAAATCCTACAGCCGAGCAGGAAACAGCGTAACGTGCTAGACTATATGAGTGGCTGTAAGCCATCGAAGCGGTGAATAGATATTGTATGACGTTGCAGAACTGCCGGGTATTATCCAAGAGAAGAACCAATCTGCGAATCTAAGTACCTACCTACGCAGGTTTATAACGATACGATGCAAGATGCCAACACAGAATGAGACCTCTACAAGTCACCGATGATACCCAACATACTGAGCGTTAATAGTCATGACGGGTGGAGACATGAAGATGGGCTGATGGGAGGCATATTCATGCTATTATATCGCAAGTTGACTCGATAAAGCTGCAGACAAGAGACCTGTATGCGCGATAATAGAAAGAGGCTGACCAATTAGAAAATTCCAATACTACCTTAAAACCTCATAGGGTGGTAGATAGGGAGTCCCCAGGACGTAACCCTACCTCGGGGTGATAGATCACTGCATAATTACTGTTGTTAGACGTTGCGTAAATCCCGAAGCTGAGCTTGTTGGACTCCCACTACCGAATATGCCGCCCCTTCGCATTTACGTGGTTCGTCAATGGTAGACCGCTATTCCTTAACCCGGTGCGGGTCTGCATCTCATAATGCACGGCATATGCCACCGCCACGATTGGGCGTTCGCCAGATGAAAATGTCGGTATATGATTTACAGCCAACATCATTGTAACCCTGCCAACTAATTATATAGTCGTATAGTAGATACCGACTGTGCGGTACGAAGCTTCTGATAGGCCGATAGTTAGTATAGAGGTGTCTTCATTTGACTTCTTGACGTGTTGATAGTATAGTTGTTAAAGCCGAGTGCTCTTGCAAATCAATTAAGCAAGACGCCCGTTTTCTTCGTGGAGTCAATATTGTGCTTCCACCCAATCTTGTACAACTAAAGCAGTTTGTCGGTTCCCTCTTTGGGCTCTGCACATAATGTAAGGCATTGGCGTCTCGGGGGGTACTATTGGATGTGTTGGGACACAGAGTTTACCAGTAGATTACACCCTCTTTGGACAGTTATAATTGACTCCGAGAAGCCGTACACCATATCAGACAAAATAGACCGAACAGCAAGATGTTTTTATGTGACTGTGGGAGCGGGGCCTGCCACATTTGCTTGCAACGGCTATGGGTATATAGGAAGTAGTTTAGATTGAAGAACCGAGGATAATATTTAATACCCTTGGATACCCCCGTCCAAGAGTGGACATAATCGTCAGATAACTTGCACTATCACAATTGCTTTGAGCACAGTATGCGAACAGATATCGGGACCACCCAACTAGAGCGTGGACGACAAGAAGCTGCACTTAAACACTTGTGCGGTCGTGCGACTTCGGAAACTTTTCGAGCTAATAAGTAACCAGCTACCGCATCATGGAACCACAGGTAACTCAACACATACACTAAATAGAAATTAACAGCTGATAGGATCGATAGGTGGAAAGACAAACTTCGAAGGACCAAGGCGGCAAAGCAGCCCCTCAAGCAACTAAGCTCCTTTCTACGAATCAGCAACAAGCCTCAGGAGACGCAGACTTCTTGATGTTGAACCGTTCATGGGCGAATCGTAAACATACATTGGACAACAGGTTGCAAGACAAACTTTGGTGGAAGGCGATACCTTATAGCGGGGATACCCTGGAACGCTGGAGGGCCCAATCGATGACAGATGGTCCATATCAAAACATGGAGTCGATTATGACAAAGACGAAGATCGTCCAATCCAAGCCTTCTAATGTCCAGTCGCCGGAACACACAAGGACCGTAAGCGAAGCAGCAGCTACCTCAGGATCGAAGTAGATAGGGTCTAAGAACGCGGGATATGTAAGAAGAAAAGAAATTGGAAGCCGAAAATGTTTTCAACGTGAGACTATATTTGATATCTCTCAAGTCTATAAAGCAGGAACAGCAAGCTCTAGTGGTTCTCGTTGGGCTTCCCAGGCCAGCCAGTCTGATCGTGTGGTTCTGTATCTAGTTAGCAAATTCCAGCTATATCGACCTATTATTCAACAAAGATAAACTTACGGTAATAAACCCATCGCGTTAACTTTCCAAATTCCAACCGCCAAGGCTACCAACTGCATCGCGACGTAGGCCAGCTTGGCCTGTATTATCTTGCCCTTGTTGCTCTCGCTTTCGAACCTCTCGAACGCCTGGTTTGTGCTGATGATGCCCATGATAGGGTTCTTGAAGGCCATGAAGACCATCATTATGCTGAAGATCTGTAGGGAATTTCCCGACATGTACATCATGATGGCTGTCATTGGCAAGCTCTTCACAGGCGCGAGCGCCACCTCCCAAGCCTTCTTCAGCTTCAGCGTATCCATCTCTTCGGTCGTTGGTTGTTTTCGGGGTTGAGTTTTGGCTTCTTTTGATGCTTGTTTCTGTCATGTGTCGTCAATATAGGCTACGGGCACCTAGATAATAAGCTGATATTACCTTTGATAATGCGGCTGACTGCGACGGGTAGCCGGGTGGGTCGGGAATGCTACTATTCTTCGACCTGGAGGCTGGGAGTGATTGTAAATCGACAACCCATTTAGGGACGGAAGGATCGATTAACGACATTGTTGTTGATTTGGTTATTTCATGTGATTATTCTTTACTGATATTGTTTGATATGGTCGTGTTATGCGGCAGTATCCAACGTCGTTGCTTAGCTGTGAAGCTTCCACTAATTGATTTTAGATGAAGTTGCAAATCAGGCGCAGAAGTACAACGTGCTGATCCACACCAGCCGTGGGTTAGGTACCTACATGTACCTCCTAGGTTACCTGGTTACCTAATGAAAAGCCGCTAAGACAGAAATATGGAAAGTTTGGGATCCACATAGCCCGTTGTGACCCGAAATCAACCCCCTGCAAGCGCAACTGCAGCCGAAGCTTCTAACTTTCCGCTCTTCAGGGGTTTCCCTTTAATTCTTACCTTTCCATTTTGGAGGGGCCGAACATCTTCCTCCGAATGCGATATTCATATTCCCGATAATGTCCATTCGCGAGTCTCTTCAACCTAATTATCTTTCCTTGTAATAGAATGTCATTGTATTCGACCTAATTCGATTATCCGCTGCACAATCAATAATCTGCGGGCCAAGATCCGGTACGCCATTGCATTCGATCGCCCCTCCAGTACCAACTATTTTCTCGAACCGCCATCAACGCTTACAATTGGATGGTTGCATTAATACCTAGGCTTGAAGAATACCTACGTAAGTAGGCTTTTAGTTAACCAATATTCCTATCCCTTGCCCAGAGTTCCAGTGTGAGGGGTAGGCCACAAGTTGGTTTGCTTCCTTGCTTTTCCTCCCTGTTGTGTTCTTGCTGCGCGCCATATCAACTGACCTCGAGCTCCTGTTCAGCCAACCAGCCGATACGTCGAAAGACTGACCGAAAGAGGCAATTCCGACAGAGGCAAACGCCAACTATAAACAACCATGTCGAGCACCCAAGTCGGAGGGGACTCGAAGCTATTCGCTCGAGTAAGCCAATTTATATTTCTTTCTACGCGACACATGAGTCCTGCTGTTATACCCATCGCTTAATCACATTACCTCCCAATTTCTTGGGGCTTTCCTTTCCTCGACGCCCTCTTCCCCAATTTGATAAATTGGAGGTCGACATTTTCTACCCATTCATCACCGTTCGCCAAAGCGTCTTCGTCTTGACGTCTATCTTAGAAAGGCACACGTTTCGAGTCGTCCTGCGATCCCAACGTCCCTTCGGGGCCATCAGAACACATTATGACCCTACCTACCTTACCCATCGCATACAATGGCCATGTTTCTAGCATATATGCCCCCGGATTTTGGCTTACGACCCATGACTATACAGGGGAAAGTTACCGAACTGCGACTCGAGCTGAACGCCGGCGGAAAGAAGGATAAGAACTACACGCAGAAGAAGATCGCACTCAAGAAGATTGTCGCGAACATGACTATGAGCAACAATGAGATGGTCTCCCTCTTCCCCGATATAATAGGCTGCATGCACATCCAGAGCCTCGAAATCAAGAAGATGTACGTCCATACCAATTTTCGGAACCAAGCCATTGGAGTTGGGCACTGATGAGGACCGGATAGGTGTTTCTTATTCTTAGTCAACTATTCGAGGATGCGCCCCGAGATTGCGGTAAAAGCAATCCCGTTTTTACAACACGTAAGTATCGCGGTAAGCATGGCGTTATGCTCGGAAATTCGATTAACACTCGTATAGGATATGGAAGACAACAATCCGCTAGTCAGGGCTTTAGCTCTCCGAACTATGTCATACGTTCACGTCAAAGAATTCGTCGAGGCTACGGTCCCCCTTGTCAAACGCCTGCTCAGAGACTCCGATCCCTACGTACGAAAGACGGCCGCTTTTTGTGTCGCGAAGTTATACGATCATGATAAGCACATGGTCGAACAATCCGACCTAATAGATAGGCTAAATCAGCTGCTGAGAGATGACAACCCTACCGTGGTGGCGAGCGCGTTAGCTGGGTTGATGGATATCTGGGAACGTAGCGATTCCATCAAGCTTACTATTGATTACAGCAATGCCTCCAAGATGGTAGCAATCCTGCCAGATTGTTCTGAGTTCGTCTCTTTCGCCCAGTTAATATTTACTCTTGCTAACATGAACTTAGGTGGGGCCAGACTTACATCCTTGAGGCTTTAATGTCCTATGTACCTCAGGAGTCAGGGGAAGCAACTTTACTGGCTGAACGTATAGCACCGCGGTTATCACACTCAAATTCCGCCGTTGTACTCACTTGCATTCGTGTAATTCTGTATTTGATGAACTACATCGCAGAGGAGAAGCAGATCTCGGCCTTGTGTCGGAAACTGTCTCCGCCGCTTGTGACGTTATTAGCAAAGGGCCCAGAGGTGCAATATCTTGCTCTACGGAACGCGCTACTCATACTTCAGAGAAGACCAGATGTTCTGCGTAACGATATCCGTGTATTCTTCTGTAAATACAACGATCCGATCTATGTCAAGGTCACTAAGCTCGAGCTGATATTCATGCTCGCCAATGAGAAGAACATCGACGAAGTACTAACCGAACTAAGAGAATACGCGACGGAAGTTGACGTGCATTTTGTTCGTAAGGCAGTGAGAGCTATCGGCAAGCTGGCCATTAAGATTGAGCCGGCTGCGAGACGGTGCATAAACCTGCTACTCGAACTTGTCGCAACGAAGGTCCCGTATATCGTCCAAGAGGCCACCGTGGTTATCCGCAACATCTTCCGAAAATACCCCAACCAGTACGAGTCCATCATCGGTACGCTTTGCGAACATCTCGACTCCCTCGACGAGCCCGAGGCAAAAGCTGCAATGGTCTGGGTTATCGGGCAGTATGCAGATCGTATCGAGAATAGCGACGTCTTACTCGAGGACTTCCTGTATTCTTTTGCGGAGGAACCCGTAGAAGTACAACTAGCGCTACTCACGGCCACTGTCAAGCTCTTCATTCAGCGACCCACCAAGGGCCAGGATCTCGTACCGAAAGTCCTAAAGTGGGCCACGGAAGAAACCGACAACCCGGACCTCCGGGACCGTGCGTACATGTACTGGCGACTCCTCAGCACGGATATGAACGTCGCGAAGCAGATGGTCATGGGTGAGAAACCCCCCATCACAGCCGAGTCTGAGAAGCTCGACCCCCAGACCCTAGAGGAAATGTGTCTCAACGTCGGCACGCTGGCCACTATCTACCTCAAGCCCGTCCAAACCGTCTTCCGCAGCGCGCGTCCCCGCCGCCTCCCTGACTCACCCGCCCTGCAGAAACACGCCCTACCCTCCGCTGCCAACTTGCCCGCATTTGAGGCCCAGAAGAGCCTCAGCATGTTCGGCATGGGCGGACAACCCGCCGTCCTACGACCCGACAGCAACGACGGCGTTGCACGCGCCCAGGCCACCGACGCTAGCAGCAGTAACAGCGGCAACGGCCCAGACAGCATGGCCAACGCTGTCAGCGACGCGGACGCGTACTTCGCAGGTATCGGTAGCCAGCAGATGGCCGCCATGGGCATCCACGAAGCGGGCGATTCGTCCTTCGGCGGTGGCGGGACCGAGGCTTCCTACGTCGTGAACCAGTACGCGCCGCAGCAAGTCTTCCAGCCCGCGCAGGGTGTTGGAAGCAATGGCGACTTGTTGCTTCTATAGTTAGGTACTTGTGCCTATCCTCATAAACTTCGATGTACGGGAATAAGAGTTGCAGCCGGTGAGGATGAGAAGGATGAGTGCAAGAATGACAGATACGTGAGGTTAAGTGTGGCCAGGACGCAGACGAAGGAACTACCTAATTAAATTAACCTAACCTACCCAAGGGTGGATGTGCAAATTGTCGGGTATATGTAAATATTACCACTGTCAAAATTAGAGAAAGCAAGCAAGCAAGCATGGGATACTGATATTTTTAAGGACGTGTACATCAATCACAATATTATCTTTTTAGACCTTTCGGATCCTACGCTCATAGTCATAATTGCTCCATGATCATGTTGGCTAAGTGTTTCGAAATGCTCTGGTACCAGATCAATGCAGAATTCGATTAGAATGCGTACGAGTACATGCTGATCCTGAGGATCCTTCACAACGTGATTAGAGAATTAGAGCCATAACAAGCAAAGTGGCAGCGACAAACATTAATATGCAGCAGGCGAAGGTGCCTAGCAATCTGTGGTCCAGCTCCCAAGAAATCTCGATCATTTTCATAACTTCTCTCCCATTTCAATCCCTCATCGTCTCGTCTCCCTACCGAATATAACCTCAACAATTAGTTCGTGCCAGAAATATCCGTCTGACATGATGGAACACCGTTTAAGTCGTAATTCTCTTTTTCAAATCTTAGTTTAATGATTGTTGATTTATCAGCGACAGTGGCTGCAGCATCCGGGTTGAGCCAGCTCCAAGTGGCCATGTCTATTCGCATTATCGGAGGCCTTCTGAACTGTAGCTTGTCGTCCATTGCTACCATCTCCAGAGGTAATTCCTTCGGTTTTCTCAGAAGCACTACGACGAGCGTTGGAAATGCTTGATGCTAATCGCGAAGGGACCCAACCAAGTAGAGTTAATATAGAAGGACCTATAGCTACCAGGGCCGCTGCAATGAGCAAACGGTATCGGCTCAGTGTAATAATGGAAACAGCAGCGTTGGTATCTGGGACCGGCCTGGGAGGAGGGTGCCCCGTTACCGTGTACATTGTGTTGGTACTGGAGCTGGCGTGTGGCAAAGAAGATGACCGGGTGACTGTAGTGTAAACGTAGTCTTCAGTACTGTGAGTAGTGTAATGTTGAATACCAGTTGACGTAACCAGGAGGGTCACTTCCGGAGTAGGGTCTAATGTCGGGTCAGACGTCGTAACAGGTTGTGTGGTATTGTATTCTGGCGTCTGTGAAACTGATTCACCCGTGCCAGTTACTATGACAACAACAACTTGCGCAGGAGTAGTGGATGAGCTGTGGACGGCAGATGAAGTGTGATATTCTAGAGAAACAGTTACGGTTTGGGGATCAAGATCCGGCGGCGTCACAACGCTTGGCTTGTTAATTGCAGGGGTCTGTTTGTTGCCATATGCACCAGGAGGCAAGTTTGTAGGCTTAGGGGGGTTCCCGTAGCCTCCGCTTCCAACAGGGGTTGTACTGGAGCCGTATCCGTAGCCATAACCGTCACTATAGTCATCTCGCCGAGATAGTCCATTCTCCTGTGACAGTTCCAGGCACTTGGGGTCTGCTTCATCCCAACGGCATGCTTCCAGAAGCCCGCCGTCAAGATAACTTTTGGGAGTTGCCTCAGTCATCTCAGTCACAATAGGATTGTGTGCGAGTGAGATGCCAGATGAAAGGTTAGGTCCACTAACGTCTTCACCAGATCGAGTGGGGTAGATAGAAGATGATCCAGATTGAGTCACGGTGATGAGGTCCATGCCCTGTGTAGTTCGAATTTGATGAGAGGGTTGCTTGTGGATCGTTGCGAATGTGGACAAGTTATGGATGAGTTCAGACAAGACAACATTGGTCTCCACGGCTGTACCAACTGTAGTGATAGGAGCGGATTCGCGCTGGAAAGGCGATTCCAGAGCAAGCTCTTGGTTGCTTACAACGGCTGTGCACTGGCAAACTTGGTGGTATAGTGCCAGAAGGCCGAAAAGGAGTACACGTGTCCAGACAGCCATCGTGACGCTTTTTTATATTTCGATAGACGAATAGAACCTGGTTGATTCAGAGTTGTAAAGGAACCATCTGGGAGTGGAAGAATTGACAACAGATGGACGTGAAATAAAAAGGAGGCAAAGACGAAAGATTGGATTGAAGTGTGAAGACTGATGTTTCAAAAAAGGTAGGATGTGTCATTGAAGTCGTAAGTTTCACCTTCCGAGTCGTGAAAGCTTTGGTGCTACTTCCTTTGCTGTTGAGATCTTGGGAAGGTGCTGGCCTTGTACACATTGAAAAGACCAAGCACGGAGGCAGCTGCAGTGAATAAATATGGCAAGACCGCTCGCTCAGGCAGCCACATGGAGAGTACCTGAGGTAATTATAATTCGCTGTTACTCTATATGATTATTCGAAGTTTCCCAGTCAGATTAGACAAATACCAATTTGAAGTATACAACGATGCACCTACCAACATATTGCAACATATTCAGATCCCTATCTATAAGATTCCCTCTTGCTTTCGAGGCTGCACATGTCTAGGTTAGTACACTTATATAATTTAAGATACAGATCAAGATTGAAAGCTATGTGTGTCAATATGCATTACACATTTGAATGATTCAACTATGTAATTTCGTCAAACTTATTTATCCAACTGGGATTCCCGCTTTCCTCAGTATTCTACCAAGCTCGAATTATAAGCACTTCTATTGTTTCATACCAAAACTCTTCGATTATACCAACAGATTTTACAGCAGCTACCTACAAATATTACGTATTAGATCCTGATGCTATGATTTCGCTAGATATGAGTTGCTTGTTAAATGAGTGCGTCTTGTAGTGAATCATATTGAAGAACAAGAGATAAGGACTACATGGAGCATTTGATATTGGATGGGTAGTGATACAATTTAGCAAATTAAAAAGCAAGGCATAACCCCAAGTTGATTATAGAAGTGGAATTATCTTATCTGTTCCCAACTACTTATTTTTCATCCAAGAGGTAGCAATTTTAAGATGTGTTATTATATAATTCAACGCAATATTGCCGATACTTTAAGTAACTCGCTTAAGTACGCATGTGTATTAATATGAGGACCGAGGTTTACGGAGAAACTTTCGGATAGCCGGTCGGGCAGGAATAGGTACCCACCTAGTAGTTGCGGAGCCGGTCTCGGTACACCTAGCCGACGGCATGCGGGGATGATGGCCTTGCTGCAAGAACGACAAACAATAGTTTGATTGCGTTTAGCGCCACGCGTAGAGAAGACTATTTTGTATCTTAGCCCACTCGAGTAAAGCTAAAGAGAGACTAACGTAACCAATTCTGCATGGTGTAAGTAAATGATTCTGTTAGAGCTTAGGCCGTACATATTTTGTGGGCGGTTTACAGGTAATCATTAAAACATGTGATGGTGAGGGGTCTTGATAAATTCGAATCTTGCTGTTATGGATGGGACGCTTATTGGAAGATCTATTCTAGAGGCCTTGGTATGCAAGCAATTAACCTAGGAGATTGTTTAGATTCAATATCCATCTGGGTTAGGGGAGATACGTTGCTGGTAGCAATGAAGAAGCGGTGTATGATAAGATGATAAGATGATGACTAGGGTCAATATCTTAAATAATAGTATGTAGAGTTAGGAGTTTCCCATGACGCATACTATTTATGTATCTATACGCATAGCAATTGACATGGGTAGGGTTGAGTTTAAGTGACGTTATTTATTATGTTAAGATCTTAGAAACGTTTGAGAAGGGTGTGATTTATGATTGTCTTGTCTTAGTTATATGAACTTACAACTGAGAATATTGAAAAAGCACTGGATCAGTATCGCTATAGTTCAAAGATGTAAGTTGAAATGGGCGAGTATATATAATCAAATTGTCCTGTTACAATTTGAACCTGATGATGTTCTTATGTAGACTTCGGTGAGTGAGCAATGAAGGCAATGGAGGCAATGGAGGCAAATGCGGAGTGTGGGGAAGAGAACGAACGCTATGTGGTACCAGGATGCCAAGACGGGGGAGTTTACCGTGCCGAGAAAAGAAAGATCCAATCTGTCCCCAGCTGTGTGGCGCTGGTCCACTTGTAGATGATGATCATACGTGAAACTCAAATACTCGATGTAACACTTCGATGGTGATAGCGTTGACGAAGTTGTCACTTGACCGGCTATTCGAGTCTAGCGAGCTTCAATGCGTGTTTCTAGACCCGGCTATATCTGGACTACGTAGATACCACCCAACCTCTATTGAAATTCGACTTTGGAAAAGCAAGTCAAGTGTACAGGTGATAAGTAGAGACGATAATGCTAAGAATTAAGAGAGCCACATTTTGCACATGGGGATTTTCCCTCTTTCCTTGTATGGTAGTAGGGCCCGAACTTTGGTTATCTCCATATTATTACCGTCACTATTACATGATGTACATATTTTGTACCTGGGGTGGCTTGGATGTGTAAGGTTATGTACTATTAGCCATTCTGTTTCTGCGTCAATTTTACATGCATCTTTTCTAAATAACCCGAGGCAGTGGACACTTAGTGTCTGTGCCTCAACTGAAATTTCAATCGCAGTTGTGCGACTTTTAATACGCACACGCGAACGCGCAGGAGTATAATAATAATAACAACAACAACAACAACAACATAAATGCGACATGTACCTATGGACCTATATGTAATAAATCTTTACGGGGTTAGGTACATATGTAGGTTACCTGTCTATTTTTACTAAGGCAGCCAAGGTTAGGGGGTTCAGCTCTGCATCGACCACTAAAAAGCCCGTGTCACGCTTATCTAAGAGGCAATAATAACAACCTGAAATAAGGGGCATTCAAAACCACCTAAAACCATAGTTGTACCTGTATTACCCCAGCTGGCAAGCAGCCCGGTTAGCTACCTAAGTTAGGCTAGTTAATCAGTCAGCGCCATAACATAGGCAGGTACCTAGGTTAAAGGTATTGGAAGTTGATCAACCCGTTCTCATTCGCGGTTTTTCTAAAAGGCAAATAATCGAGCTGCTATGTTGTCTTGTCACAATCACTTGTGAGAGACCGGCACTCAACAAAAAACCTCGACTTTTTCGTTCGTACTTGGAATTTCTAGTTATCATTGAAATTGAAATCTGAATTGATCTCAACCGTCCCATTTCTTCTTCTTGTTCTGCACAAGGTTAAACCTGCCAATCCGGTCCGTTAGACCCGTGCAGTAACATCATCACCATCACCATATCTTTTTTTTTTTTTTTTTAGTAGCAGTGACTGGCTGCATCTCTCTCTCCTATAATCACTTATCACTGTTTCCCCTTGCAGTATCAACTTGCAGTATCAACTTGCAGTATCAATTCGGCAATCTCCCCAAACCATTGCATTCGTTTTATCTGCGTGTTTTCCATGGCAGGGACAGGAATAGGCGAGAGCGACAAATAATAATTAAAGTGTACACAATTGTACTGCATACGCATACGCATACCCGCGTTCGATAATTCGACAATCCCGACAATCCTTCCTTTGAAACGAGGCGCACCTTTTACACGTACGAAACGCACCCCTCGAATGCTGCTGACGTACATTCTTTTTTTTCGGTTATTTCAACTCCATAATTGCGCGCAGCCGTCAGCATCTGCACGATAAAATACGATATACCGTATACCGGCCCCTTAATTACCATCCACTCGGTCGCAACTAATCATGGCGGATGCAACGGCTCTCTCCGCTGGTGGGGATCAAGGGCCTAGGGAAGAGAGGGTGGCGATTAATCTACCCGTAGGCGACGTCGAGATGGAAGATTTATCTCAAGCTCAACCTAAACCCACCAACCCAGATGCCAATCCATATGTTTCAGAGCCCCAAAATCATGATTCCGAGTCTGCTCTGGCCCCAATACCCGTACCGGATAAGGATCCGCCGAACGATGAGTCGACATCGTTGAAAGCCAGCGGCAAAATCCCAACCGGCGGCGACGATCATGATCTGACGATAGATCCTGTTGAGTCCGGTGCTGGGTCTCCAAATGACGATTTAGTGGTCGATATAATGCTTCTCTTAACCTCGGGCGCCCGACATCCTTTTCGTATCGACGAGAAATACTTGGCAAAACGGAATGTTACTGTGACGGGCAAGACAGATGACGGAAAGCTGGATCCGTTCAGCATCACAGTCTATACCCTAAAAGAGTTGATACTGAGAGATTGGAGGAAAGAATGGGACCAGCCACCGAGAGAACCTAGTTCTATAAGGCTCATCCACTTTGGTAAATTGCTCGAAGACAGAAATCAACTTAGCCGTATGTATAATCACTCTTTTTTCCGTACTGTTCGAGATGTGTTTTGGTAATGGGATACTGAATTTTGCAGATTCCCACTTCAGCACGACTAGGAATGTTGTTCACATGACTATCAAGCCGCAAGACTTGATAGATGAGGAAGAAGCCGCCAAGAAGGTCAAAGAGTCCGGGAGCCACACCAGCCGCAGCGGATGCTGTGTCATCTTATGATCTAGTCCTTGTTAAGTGACAACTAAATTTCAAAGAGCGAACATCCTCTCGATGTGGTGATATCTTAACCTGTTCTAGAACTGTCCGAACTATTGGGGAGCAACATAGGCGAGTCGGGCAATTGGGCATATGCTGCGGAAATGATTGCGGATTTTTTTTTGGGCATCGGACGGCGCGATAGGGTTGATTTCAGCGGCTGAGATTGAAGCGTGATCCATCTCCACGATGCGTTTACTATGTCATGGGAGATTAGAGTTCCCTCTGAATTTAGCCTGGAGTACAACATCGATGGCTCAAGAGGGGGGGGGGATAGGGTTGAGAAGATCTCACCAACTCTTTACGTGCTACTTTTTTGTTTCGTTTTTTTGTACAGCACTAGAGAAACAGGCCTATATCCGGCGCAGTTTGTTGTGTTTATAGTATTTGCACTTTACCGGTCTTGCCGACCATATAAGCGATTAATGTGGGTTAGCATACCACTGTCTATACGTTAATATGGATCTATTGTAGTCATATAGTTGTTATATTATTGCGTTAGGTCATGGCTATCTTGTGAAGGGCTTCCAGGGTCAGATGCCCATATATTGTCTATTTCATGATATACGTCGGTATTGTACGTAGTAGAAAGCATGCTCCGATTCGTGTTCATCAACCTGAAGCTGCTACTAGTGTAGTTGGAGTGTCTATCACGCAACACCAACCGTTACCTATGCTGATTACCAAGATGCTACATCGGACTGTCCCTTAAATCTTCAACTTCCGCTCCATCTCCTCATGCATAGTCACAGCAGACCGCTGCTCCTCACCGGTAAACACATCCTCCCAGTCAAGCGTAGCTTCGCGGCCGCGCAGGATATCCTCATGCACGCTCTTGATACCGGCGCCGCCGCCGAGGGCCAGCGGGCGCCACTCGCCGTTGCGCGTGATCTTGAGCTCCATGCCGCGGCGGATAGGCTCCGCCATGCCGAAGGTGCGGCGCAGGCTCTCCATGCGCAGGGCCTCCTGCGTCGACTCCCAGGCCTTGAGGCGGGCTTCGAGCGGGTGGCGCGAGACGGGCGCGGGGGACTCTGCGGACAAGGTGTTTGGGCCGATGCCGTGACGGAGCGTGTCGTGGACGCCGGGGGCGGACGGGGCGGATGTGTTGGTCGATTTGAAGGTGCTGGTGTGGGCGGAGGGGGGGACTATGCGCATTGACTGGGAGGAGGGATGTGGTTAGCTTCTTTGGGGTAGAGAACGGGAGAAGAGTTAAGTATAGGTAGGTAGGTATGGCTTACCATCTTGTCGGTAGAAAGAGTATTAATAAACTTTTTGTTTTTTTTTGTTTGGTATTGTGCTATCGTAATTCTTAATAGTCTTCAACTCGGTTAGGTCAAAGTGAGTGTTTGAAGACAAGTTGTGGTTTGGTAGCAGCTTGGCAAATATGTAGTGGTAGATATGCTGCGTGGTTGATAGTGGATTCAATTTGTAAAGGAAAGCTTGAGTAGAGCAGAGCAGAGCAGGCTGCCGGGAGCTTTCGTGTTTGGAGCCTTGCCAAGCCCGGAGGTGCAAGTACCAGCAAAGAACTAACCTAAGCAGCTAAAGCGGTTCTTGCGTCAACTTTAAATTACGTAAGTCTAGGTCTAGGTACATATTAGGAACTGTGGAGGGCGCAGCTCATCCCAAAGTTATCCTTGACCATCAACCCAAAGTCTAACCCAATTAGGCATATGTGGACCATTTTACACCATAATAGTAC